GACCCGACATCGGAAGCCCATTCAGGACACGTTGACTGAGTCGGGAATGCCGGGCGTGTTCTTCATCTACGAGTTCGGACCCGTTATGGTTAAGTACAGCGAAATCAACCGATCGTTTATGCATTTCCTGACGTCTGTGTGCGCTATAGTGGGCGGCGTTTTCACGGTGTCGGCGATCATCGACTCATTGCTGTATCACTCGATTCGCGCCATTCAGAAGAAGATTGAATTGGGAAAAGCCTCTTAACCCCAAACCCATACTTAACAACCCCTTAGAATCTCGTGTCTAAACGGAAACCACTTTTTGTATTAATATTAAGTCATTATATCGATAGCTATCGACCAAAACTATCAGTTATTTATTTCAACGAATTATCTGTAAATAAGTGAAACTCAAATGTTGTATAAAAATATTAAATGCTTTTTAAATTAAGTGAAATCTTTTAAAAATATTTTGTAATAATTTTGGTTTTATTTGAGATGAAATTAAATATAAAAACAATTAATTAATTGAAAATATCACAAAAAATAATATAAAACAAAACAAACATCTTGTGCTTAAAAGTAATTCAAAGTTAATGAAAGTCACATAAATTAAAAATTTTTAAATAATTTTTAAATATTAAAGTTTAAATAAAATACAAATAATAATCGTTTTTAACAAAAATCTCAGTTTTTAAGAATTAGTAAAATTTTGAGAATTATTGTTGTCCTCGAAATCGTGACAAACCGTCCCATTAGTAGTCGGCTATAAATACATAACAATTATTATAAAGTGTTAGCAAATAATAGCAAATCATAATTACTTTATCAAAAGGCGTGACAACTTCTTTGGAAACAATAGGACTTTGATTGGCAGACAATTCATTGGACGATTGATCCAACGTTTTGAGTCGAAACACTTTTAAATTATTGTTTTGGTTCGTTTGGACCCCTATTGAGACAGAGATACAATGACACACATGTTTTCACTCAATTTATTGTTAATATTTGGAAAATACCTGTAATTTGAAAAGTGTGGGGCATTTGCTTCAAGTTATTAGCAACCGATGCGTTCGCGCTGTGAGTGAGGGTCGGGTTCTGTTGTTCAGCGATTGAGTTATGATTAATGCCTTGTATTAAGAATCGCTTCTTAACGGGAATACAATTCGTGGGAATATTCCTCAATCCCTGAAACTGTTGAACAGTAGTCCCGACGAGTGTCTGTCCATTCATTGGATTCGTTTCGGTTATATTATTTGCATTCAAGTTATTCTGCGCTGAGTTTGTGGTAACAATAGTGACCGGTTTCCAGACCTGTCCGGACGACTCGCATCGACTCAATTTGATGACCAGTCGTTTGGGGTCTGCGTTGACCAACTCTTTGCGCGAGTTTTCGTTGTTGGAAATGACGGATGAAG